GAGTGATGGCTCCTACTGGCCATCTTTGGTCCCTCACTATAACATTTGTTACAGGCAAGTCATGCTTAGTAGTGCACTAAGCAGAAAGTCCAAGAAATTAAAACAGTCTGAAAACACTGAAGACTGAGCTATCTATGGCATACTGCTTTTACTTTCTAGGCAACTGCCAACTTTCTTGGAGCAAATAAGAACTACTGTAGACCAAAATGAGGGAGCCAAACAATAGGACTACCAGATACTATACAGGTAATCTGGGGGTTCAGTAAGCAATTCTTTCTCCCTGAATACAGACTGAAGAGTTCAATCAGATGTGCTGATCCAATTACCTAGTGGGAGTTTTTTTTCCCTTAGTGACTAACCCTGTATCCTAGATTAGTAGAAAGAAAGCATCTTTCATATTTAGACTTTAGGCATATGAGCTAAACATAGATTAAAATATGGATTATTTTAGGGGCGCCTGGGTGGCTGAGTCGGTTAAGCGTCTGCCTTTCGCTCAGGTCATGATCTCAGGATCCTGCTCAGCAGGGAGTCTGCTTCTCTCTCTCCCTCTGCCCCTCCCTGCCTGCTCATATGCGCTCTCTCTCTAATAAATAAAATCTTTAAAAAAAAAAAAATAGAAATAAAGTATGGATTATTTTACTTGGAATTAAAAAACCCAAAACTTAAATATATGTGATGTTTCAGAGCCTTAACATATGAGGTGATTTGCCTGAAATGGCTTCAGCTAGAAATACATGACTAAAAACATGATTTTTTGTGGGCAGGAGTTAAGTTTTTCAACAATGGCTCCAAACAGCCTTCTTAACTATTGTCTGTTATTCTACAGTACAAGTCTTCAGCTGGATCACATTCATTGTGCCTGTTTACTGCTCAGTCTGCTACTGGCCCAAAGTCCATGCCCTCTCTTGTACCCTTCCTATCCTGCCCTCAGCCATCCTTGTTTCTGCCTGTCCAAATCACACATAATCTTCAAGGTCCAAGGGAGATGCAGCTTCTTAAAGAAGTGAAGTGTTTCAACACTGTATGATCTCTCTTTACTGAACACTCCTATAATTATTCAGCAAAACGTTTATATATACTATAAAATTTAGCATGTAATTATATTGTATAATACTATTTTTTTAAGATTTTTTCCATGTGTATTCTTATCTACCCATGAAGACTATAAACTTCTTGTAGGCAAGGTCATATTTTAAACAACAAATATTAAGTGTTTTAGTCTCACCCCCAATTATTTCAACCTAACTTCAGATTGTTTGAAATGTACACATTTGTGCCGCCTAATGGTGAAAGTAATTATTGCATGGTTACAGCTCAGTAATTGCTTACAAAACATTTAACAAAATCAAGTAATGGTGGGACCAAATCTTTATTTATTTAAAATCAAAGAAGAGTAAAGCTATCGTTAAAAATGATGAAGCACCAGAGATGGTGATGATGATATAACTCATTTTTGGTGAGAATGAATTACAAGTTTAAAATTGTGATAAATTTATTATAGCTGTCAATTAAAAAAAAAGCCTTTCTTCCTCTAAGTTAGAAAATTCCTCTTGGGGGGCACCTGGGTGGCTCAGTCGGTTAAGCATCTGCTCAGGTCATGATGCCAGGGTCCTGGAATCGAGCCCTGTATCAGGCTCCCAGCTCAGCGGGGAGTCTGCTTCTCCCTCTGCCTCTCCCCCTGGTTTGTGTTCCCTCTCTCACTCACTCTGTCTCTCAAATAAATAAAATCTTGAAAGAAAAGAAAAAAAAAGAAAATTCCTTTTGGGTTTGGATTAATCTAGTACTGAAAAAACTTACATAATCATACTGAAAGGTTGTGATTAGAGGTACACCTAAAATCATCCATGACTGAGATCTATCAGTGTTAATATATACTGAGGAGAACATGCTAGGACACTATGCTTGTCTTATTTTTCAGATAAAAGAAAAAATATTTAACTCAACTAATACTGATTGAGTCACTATGTGCAGAACATGCCATACCTTCAAGAAGGTTGTGATCTAATAAAAGTATAAAGCAAGCACATTAATGGTGAAATTTAAGGTACTCAGGGTAAATTTCTTGCAGTTACTACTACAGAAACGACACATCTGTATAACGTTATATAATGCGTGCTATGTTTCAGGATAAGTGTGTGTTTTCTAAATGTTCTTAATCTCAGTGAAATATATTCTGAACAGAGGCGCAGAAGCTACTTTCCTCGTTTTGCATTTTCATTTATTCAGTTCTTCTTGGTAAGACTTCATCCTTAGCTTCTTGATGTCCTAAACTTCTCATGCGCTTATTAGTGCTGATTGCCAAACAGATGTCAGCAACACTGAATTTAGTTATATTCATGAGCAGCGAAGATGATACTTTATGATAATTCATTTTAATACATGGTCTCTAGGATTCCACTGGAATAATTTATTTATAATGGCCATTTAACAGAGAGCTTCTTTTTCCCATAACTGATTATCAAAAGCAGATCTCAGGGACCTAAAGATCAGAAAGTTGGGTTTGGTCCTTTCTGAGGTTTCAATCTCTTTTCTAGGAAGGGTACTCTGGACTAGATGGTTTCTAAGGTCCTCTTCACCTCTGCTCCTTGATGAAACTGTTTGTGTTCACTTGACACCACCCCCTGCTCCCTGGGAGTGGAGCTGACTTTGACTCTCCACCTGATGCCTCCTTAGGTGTGCCTGCTACCCTTATCTTAGGCAGAACCATAATCTCCTCCTTTGGGACCACATCCCTCCATGATCTGGCCATTTCACTTTTTTTTTTTTTTCTTTTTAAAATTCTTTTTTGAGGAAAACCATCCAGTTCACTATTGTTACCAAAGTGCTTTATGATTTGGAGATTCTGTTAACTAAAATCATACTACAAATACAAGAGGCACCAAGTTTATAGTAGAAAGAGCACTGGATATTCAGTCAGAGGAACCAGATTCCAATAACTCTGACAAGCTTTTTCACCTGTTTCTGCTTCAGTTTTGCCCTACAAGTTATTAGTAACAGTAACTACCATGTATGGTTATTGTCAGGATTAACTGATCTTATGCATACAAGATACTTAGCACAATGCCTGGTACTTAGTAAATGCTCAATAAATGTTAGCTGCTATTACTATTATAATCATAATCATATTTATTATTATATAGTGTATAAGATATCCTACTTTTCTAACTGAAGTAAACAGAAACATCTAACTGTAGTTCTCTTTTTTTCTGATATGGGGGGGGAATCAGCTGCCAGTTCTAGCAGGAAAAATTACACACCCGTGGTTGTTGACTAGTGCTTTGAGTGATGACTAAGTAATACGCATTCCCCAAAGTTATAAATCAGCTCATTACTAAAATATCTTCCAGATTTCAGAACAGAGAGCTCTACAGATACATCCTTATCCACTATAAGATAATCTACTATCCTGCCTACATTTAGGAAGATCTTTATTAGTAAAAGATGTGTTCCAACAGCATGCTTGTGTTTACAGAGAAATCTAGTAGATGAATGTGTTCCATGATGTCAGAAATACCTTTACAGAAATCATTAAATACTATAAGCCATCAGATTAGCGAGGAAATAGAAAAACGTACTGTTGAATGAGAAGGGTGAGCCTAAGCTGGATGCCACAATTAAACGGTACCACATTAAAAAAAAAAAAAAAAAAATCACCACTTGAACGTCTCAGTGCCTCTCTGACCCATTCCATAGGCATGAAGAACTGTGTTCTGCAGGGGCTTCATTGGGTAGAAGGATACTTACTATTCATGTGCAATAAGACCATCAAGCCCACAAGTCCATTTCATATCAGTTATGACCACAGAATTTCAAGAGCAACCCAAACTAATAGGGAAAACATTTTTAGTTTACCAACATAATTTTGGATTGACTATACATTTTTTTAAATCATGGGTACTTAGTTGTAAAGGTGCTTCATCCTGGCAGAGTTCATTAACTGAGGTTATACTTTGTACCTTAAAGTACATTAAACCCTAAAGGAACAACAGTGATGCTATTTAGGGAAAGATGCAAGAACTTTATACCTTTTCTTACATAATGGGGTTCAACATCTTTCATGTTAACCACAAGCAGTTTTATGACAATGTAGAAATTATCAGATAAGGGTGATAATTTGTCATAGATGTCATCATCATACAATATGACTTGGTAGAAATCAGAGTGGAGAGCAGAAACATGCAAACAAGGTTTTTCTTGCACTAGGTGACTGTGGGCTTTAAATCATTCTTGTAAAATTAGTAACACTTCAGCATGTTTCTGTATAGTTCCTTTCCCATATATATTCATATGTGTTATTTGTCTCAACACATGTATGTATCAATATATAAACATACAAATAAGATGTATAATTGTTTTTTTACATAAAAATATGAAAATGTACACATTTAAATGGATGTGATACCATCAATGGAATCACCTTGTCCTGATAAGCCCATCAATAGACACGGCTCTTGAGGAAGCGTGAGGTAGTAGTATGAGCTACAAACTAAGAAGCAGAAGAATGCCATTCTATCCCTCACCTACAGAAATTTACTAACCTCCCTGGATGCCAGTTCTACTTAACTACAAAATGGAGGTAGTATTTGCCTTCCTACTAACCAGAATCATCTGTTGGAGTGAGTGGAATAATAAATGCAAAAATACTTTTTAAGCTATAAAGAACAATAGTATAAGTGTTAAGATACTTTCAAGACAGTTTTGGTGTTTTGAGAAAAATTTAAAAATGGAATGATAGTCTAATTGTATTATTTTCTGTATTCTGAGAGGAGAAAAATTTTATAAAGTTATCTCTGATATATATATATTTTTTATCTCTGATATTTCTAAAGAATACATAATAAGACGTTAGTGCATGGGGTCAACTTAGTATAAAAACACAGTATCTTTTATCTTCAGAAAAAACATAAAAAAGTGCTTTGTAAATTCTGAAGGGCTACATACAAAGTTTAACAATTGTTGCCACTTACATAAAAACGTAGCCTTTTGAGATGGGTGCTTACCTTCTCTTAGACGTTCTACCACAAAAGTAAAGCCTGTAGTTCTTGGGTGTAAGACATACTCATATTTCTGAAGTCCATTCTTTTCAGCAAAATCATTACTTCGAGCCTTGCTGTTTTCTAAACAAAACAAAAGGCTATTAGAAGCCATAAAATAAAGGAATACAAGTGAGATAAGGAAATAGTGGAGGATTTTTTTGATAAAATGGCAGTTAATTCATCTGTAATTACTGAATATAGCATATATGAGTCGAATGAGAAGATACAAACACTTTAGTCCCTAACAAAGATTGCAGAGTTTTTGGAATTTTGAAATTTTTATAATAAGGTATTAATAGGACTTTTTATAACTGTTTACTGAAATTCATATTGAAATCTTTAAAATTATTTAAGGGATTTTATAAAGTAGTCAATGTACAACAAAAATGAAATACAAATAAAATACGAATAAACTAAAATTTTCATAAAATAGTCTTTACATAATAAAAATTGAAACACTAAAAAAGATGCTAATATAACTAAGATACTAATAAAATATAAGGACCAAGACACTCAGAAAAAACAAGTAGCCAATACGCCAAATATATCAACTCAACATTTTTTTTTTTTAACCTAGTAATTTAGGGCTTCATTGCAAAGTGAAATGTCTGCCTTGCTCAAGCATAGAGCATGCTAATATTACTAACCAAAACCACTCCCCAACAGAATGGGCACATGATTAGCACATCTTGTTCAAACATCTGAACATGGTTTGGCTGAATATAGTTACAGAATCAAGTATATGTTCCAATTATTGGCAAAAACTTCTTTTTCCATTCCATGAGGTAACTTTATAAGTTCCAAGAAGAACCAAACCCATTATTCAGCAAATATATTTGGAAAAAGTAGTGTTCAGAATTTTGGCCTCAAATGCTGGGAGAGATCATGAAATACCTTCTGATGACAGCAGATGTTAGAATCTGCAACTCTCAGCTGCATCCTGAAATTTACAGACTATTCCAAGTCACAAGAAAAAAAAACTTTCTCTATATAAACCCATACTTCTTAGGAATAAATTTAAGATCACGGAGTCCTCAAACCTCAAAAAGCCATATATGGATTCCACAACACTAAAATATTCAAAGAATATGCCTCTAAAAAGTGTCACACTATTTTTTAATTGAGGAACCGAATTAAAGAACTAAATATTCACAGTCCCCAGCAAGACAAAAGTATAGGCTATAAACATGAAAAGGAATAAGCTCCTCTCATGTTCATTTGAGGAGAATATCCTGGGCATGGGAGTCCAAAACAGTGTTTGATAGACAGCTAGAAGGCCCTTCCATGGAATGAGGAATCCTAGGGACACTACAAAGATAAGTAGTTAACTATTCTTCACTTTCCTCTTCCAGTTCATCACAGACTCTGGGGATCTGACGACAAAGTTGAACGCTGCTGTAGAATGGGAATACAAGTAGTTCTAAAAATATAGTCACAATGTGGGGAGGTAGAGATAATAATCAGAGACACAAAGAAATACAGATTCTTCCTTCTATCCCCCCTTCATCTACCCACCCCCGGACTCTGATTATTAGTAACTGCACTAGCCTCCCTCTTCCTGACCACAGCCTCCTGTCTTGTCAGCTCACTGCTGGTAACACTCCAGTGCCAACACTCCTTCCACTCTGAAGAGAGTACGGGCTATTCTGTGTTCTCAAACCAGCTAGGCATGTTTTCACTTTTCAGGGTCTGTACAGATGTTCTTTCCCCTACCTAGAATGCCTTGTACCCAGACACCTGCAATGTTTTCTGCTTTGTTCAGTTAGTCTCTACTTACACAGAAATTAAGGGACTTCTTTTAACCACCTTATATAAAAGAGTACTCTGTGCCCTATCTACTCCTCTCCCTGTCCTTATCTTGCTTTATTTCTCTGCACAGCATTTATGAATACTTGACGTATTTTTGTTAACCGACTGGTTTTTTATTCTGTCTTTCCTCAAAGAATGTAAGCTTCATGAAAGTAGGGGCTTGTATTGTATATAAAGCTTCAGGGCACTCATTTATTAAATGAAGTTTTATGTATAAGAGTGTTTAATTACATGTAATATTATAATTGTTAAAAACTAGAAAAGCTTTCTTTTCCAAATCACGGTAATAGAACTCAAAATTACAGTATACCAATTGTTATGATTAAGTTTATGTATCAAACTGGCCTAGCCAGAGTACCCAGATAGTTGGTCAAACATTATTCTAGATGTTTTGTGAAGGTATTTTTCAATGAGATTATTTAAATCAGAAGACTTTATATAAACAGAGTACTCTCCATAATGTGAGTAAGCCATATCTGATCACTTGAAGGCTTTAATAAAAAAAAAAGACTAATCTCCTCAAGCAAGAAAGAATTCTGTCAGCAGACTGCCTCTGGACTTGAACTGCAACTCTTCCCTGGGTCTCCAGCCTGCTAACTTACCCTGCAGATTTTTGACTTGCCAAGCCTCCACAATCATGTGAGCCAACTCCTTAAAATAAATCCCCAACTCCCATCTCATTTTCTCTCAAGCTCAATCTCCAATCTCCACACACACACACACGCATGCGCACGCACGCACACACACACACACACACCCTCAGTGGCTCTGTTTTTCTGGACAACCCTACCTAATAAACCAATATAATATAAAACTGGCCAACCTTTGGAACACATGTTTTCAAAGAATAAATAATGATAGGAGAGATAATATAACATTAAGTGCGAAGAAATGTGTAATTCTATTTTTACAGTTGTTTAAAACTATGTGTTTATGCACATATGTTTGTGTGTGTGTGCACGTGTGCATTTGTGACCAAAGGATCCAAAAGCAATGGACCAAAATTACACTAGTGTTTGTTTATGGGCAGTGGGATTATAGCAACTTTCGTGCTCTATGTTTCTAAATTTCCCAAGTTCACATATACGATTTCCATAGGCAAAAAAAAAAAAAAGTTATAACCAACAATAGCATATGAAGAGAAAATATATGTAAAGTTATATTTAAGGGCGCCTGGGTGGTTCAGTTGTTAAGTGTCTGCCTTCGGCTCAGGTCATGATCCCAGGGTCTTGGGATCGAGCCCCACATGGGGCTCCCTGCTCAGCAGGAAGCCTGCTTCTCCCTCTCCCACTCCCCCTGCTTGTGGTTCCCTCTCTCGCGGTCTCTCTGTCAAAAAATAAATAAAATCTTTAAAAATAAAATAAAATAAAGTTATATTTAAACACACTAATTTGAAAATGTGCAAGCAGGTTGGACTCAGAACTTAAAGAGGGTTATAGAACATTCCCCTTGGGCTTAAAAATCCGAAGTTTCAAGTTAACTGTGGTAGCTAAAAACACCCTTGAATTAACAGACACTTTCAAAGATGATCATTTATCCCAGATCAAAACTACCTGTATAATCCTATTTAAAAAAACAAAAACCAAAAACCCTTTGAAAGCTTCAGGATCTGTTTTCTCTTTTTGGCAAACACTCTAGCTTTTGAAAGTTGGCTTTAAAATGTAAATACCATTTTAACTTAAAAAATATGCGACTACATCATGTAATGGTGAGTACTCTGGACCCTGAAAATATGCCACTAGATGTTAAGTTCATCATGTAAAAAAGACACTTGAGAAAAAAAATACAGACTGAAAAAAGTTTTAAATACATATTTTATAGGCTCTGAAGATCTAATGTATAAACATTTTAATACTAAAATACCATAAAGTAGCAGCAATCCCAGAGCTTTTTTTCCATTAGCTTTTATAAATAACTTCCAATGTTGCCATTCTTTAGTGTCCGCTTTGGCATTCACAAATATCAATCTATCATCTCAGTAAATTACTTTCTATAATATAGCTAGTATTTCAACACCCAAATTTAAGTATTATACATTCTTAAGTAATATAAGATTTAAATACAGCTGTCTGTCCATCAGAACTTCCTAATGATAGTGTAGCTCTGGGAATCAATTAATTTACAACCTATATTTTTAAGCTTAAACAATATGCAGCCAATATTATCCTCAGTATTATCCTCTGTGATCCAACTGCTTTTAGAATCTTCACTATAAAAATCAAACCTATGTAGTAAGCATATATTTTAGTACATAATACTATTCAATAAAACTTGTCATGGTTCATTTAGTTCAGTTCCAACTGTAACGGATAAGTCAAAGAGCTCTTCCTTGGTATCAATGGTAAATGTTTCCCAAAATACCTGAATTTCCCTCAGCACAGTATGGCTTAGCTACCCATTCACTTAAATAATTGTGTAGTTTGTATTTTTCATCTTGAACTCTTTGTAGGTACTGGGTTCCATGATTTCTTATGTCCACATAGTGAACTAGTATGTTCTCCCCTCTGAAGCTCTAAGGGTTGTCCTTCTTAGTAGCTCTCAGTTGCCTCCATCTGGTATTGAGGATTTGGAAGACAAGTTCATGTTCTAGCCCTCCATACTATGTGATTTTTAGACTTCAGTTCTACCCTGCTTCAGTCTGTCTTCTCTTGTACAGCAGACCTTATCTACCAGATCCTTCTCAAATTCTGCTCTATCTTTCCTGAAGTAACCAGGGAATTATCAGTTTTAAAATTTTGCTCTTTTGAGTTGGATTCCACAGAACTGCTTCCTGTCCAAGCTTATCCCTCCCTGCCAATATTCAACCACAACACTTCTTCAATCTGTCTTAAATCCCAGACTGCAATAGGCACCTTCATCTGCAAAAATGACCTGTGTTTTAAAAAAGTGTGAGAACCACTGATTTAGTAAGGAAAAAAGACTATATTTTGTTTTTAATCTTTTAAAGAATTCCTTGAGATCCACTGGCATTCTTGGCTTATGTATGTAGTTTAGTATCTGGGAAGACGGAAAAGTTCTAAATATGTCCTCCTGTGTCCCCTCCACAACTCAGTGGTGGCTGAATTTTCTTGAGGACAGGACAAAGCCTTTCCTGTTTAATTAGGGATAAGGCTTTAAAATACCCAGAGAAAGGCAACATATTAACTTAAAATAACAATAAATGAAATTGGTTACTATCATATCCTTTTCTTATAAAAAAGTTGAGAAAAAAGGGCCTAATGGATATATATGTATCTTGAAAGAGGACAGAGAATATACAGAACAGGAAGGGGATTTTAAAATTAGGTTTTGTTATTCTTAAGATTTCACTGGCTATTTGGGGGTTTTTATTTTGTGGTTCCATAAAAATTATTTAAAAATTATATAAAAATAAAAGGCTGATATTTAAAATATATAATGCAACTTAAAATATAAAGCTCTAGGATGGCAAGTATGAATAATAATGACCTCTTGGGGTTGTCCATCATAAATTCTATGGTCTGGAAACCAGAATTCTAGGTTCTGATGTGCTATGGATTCACTAAGTGAATGACCTTAGTGGTGGGCCATTAATCTTACTGGTGTTCAGTTATTTCAGCTGAAGAATAGAAGTTTAGGCTAAGTGATTTCTAAATTCCTTCATGTTTTAAAATTTTGTGATTCAATCCCAGGCTACCTACCTGTGAGATCGGTTCCTTCTGGGAATATGAGGAGTTGAAGTGGTTCACGGATATCACAAAAATAATCAATTATGTCTTCAAAATGGCTCTGGTCATCCTTCCATTTCCTATGAATGAAGATATAGGCAGCAGCCTGCATGGCCCAACCTAGAACCAATTTAACAAGCATTTACATACAATTTTATTGCTAATATCCACATATTATTGAATATTTCAATTTTTTATCATGAATTATTTACTATCCTAATAAGCGTCTCATGATATACCTTGAACTCAGCACTGATCTTAGGTTAAGTAACGCATATACTGGAGAATATTCTTAAAGGAGTTTGCTAAATTCATTGGTTTGCAAAAATCTCAAAAACCTCTTTTCAAGTCAAACCTAGCTATTAAAATAGCAAGGGAAAAAACTTCCCTAATATTTATCAGTAACTCCTCCAAAGTTTTAATAATCCTAATCAGACATTTTAAACAAGCTATCTACAAGAGATATATAACATGTTATCAGGCTTACAGAACAGTAAGCAAGGGATTGTTCTCAAGTCATGTACACAAGCATTCCCTTCAGTATTTCCCCCTTCTGTACTACTCAATCTCTAAATTCAACTACTATTTTCAAAGCTAGCCACTTTAGATTTTATTTAAAAGGGAAAAGGTGTAAGGGGTACTAAACACATTAACCAGAATATATACTGTGATCACATTTCCTTCATATTTAGGGCAAATCAACCTTGCTACTGAAGGAGGTAGCTTTAGATGAGCCATGTTTTACCTAACCAGGCATCCCTCCATGGCCAAAAATGACTAGGACTACTGTGGTAAAGTTGACTCAGCCAATCTATAGTCTGTTCAATAGTCTATAAAGCATGAAACACTTGGCCCAAACACAATAACTACCATGGCCAATCAAATGTTCTGTCAGAAATTTTACCTGGGACTATGGAGAAAATACGCCAGCAATATAAAGGTAAATAGACGGACAAAACAGCAGATAATATAACAGCAGCAGTTGAGGGAAGATAAAAAACGGCACATTGTAGTAAAGATTTAAAATCTTGCTGCTGAGATGCCTCTAGTTGATTTTAATCTGGAACAGAAGACATTTTTAGTCTTCACAAATGCTGACCAGTATATGGATCCACCTCTTGGATATCCACAGGAGTCCATCTCCCTTATGGCCATGTGTATCTTTACAATATACTTCCACTATTTCAACTAGAGGGAATAAGTGATAGCTCCTTGCAAACAATGAACATAACTAAAACAATAGCTATCATCATTTGGTAAATACAATGGCACCCTGGGAATATATAAAATTATCATTAAATCATTTGTTAATGACTTAAAAAATTTTAAGACTATTTGGTTTGAGTAAGTCCAAACTAGAATACTGTAGTCTACAAATATAAATGAACATACACTCAACAAAAAAATCCACTTCAGTATAGGTCTTGCTCCTATATACCCGAGTACTACTCACCCACTGTACTGTCAGTCATATCCACCAGTGCTAGACTTGATCCCACACTTGGCCTTCCTACATGTCTCTTCTCCTTCACCTGAGGACACCTAGGCCCACAGTGTAGTGTTTGTAGGCAGGGTAGCTCTGGAGTGAGACTGCCTGGGTTAGAATCATAACTCTGCCACAAAACAGCTGTTCAGTCTTTGTCCCTCACTGACCCCAAATGTAAAAATGAGCATAATGCTGTAATAGTATTTACCTGATAGGGATTGTTGTAAGAAATAAGACTGCTTAGCACAAAGTGTCAATAAATAATAACTATTATGGTTACTGAGATTAAGAAGTTATAATAATACTTTTACATCAAGGAACATAAAAATGTAACGAAAAAAGTTCCCATTCACAGTAGCAAAACAAAAATGTACAAAAGTAAAAATAACCTGTAAGGAGTCACGTGAAGACAACTACAGAACTGGCAGGAAATGGTGAGAAACACAATATTTCTGAACTTTGACCCACATACCAATGATCTCCAAATTTACAATTTATTAGTTTCATGTAATTACAATTAAAATTCCAATGGCATGATGGTGTGTGAGAATTTGGCTATCTGATTCTAAAAATTATCTGTAATAATAAAGAAGTGAAAATATCCAAGATAATTTTGAAATAGAAGAATAAATAGGAAAGACTCACACCATTAAACATTAAATGTATTATAAAGCAACAATGATTAAACCAGAACAATGCATCTACAAAAACAGACAAATAGAAAAGAATGTAAGACCTAGAAAAAAAGCCCTTGAATACGTTAAAAATGTGGCATATGATAATGACACAATTTCATATCAGAAGGTAAAACATGAGTTGGGGTTTTCTTTTTTAAACATTTTTTTAAAGACTTATTTATTTGAGACAGAGAAGGAAAGAGAATCCCAAGCAGACTCCCCCATGACTGTGAAGCCTGGCATTGGGCTCAATTCCACGACCTTAAGATCATGACCTGAGCCAAAATCAAGACTCGGACACTTAACTGACTGAGCCACTCAGGTGCCCCCTTTTTTTAAACATTTTTATTGAAGTATAACTTACAGTAAAATATGCAGATATTAAATGTGTAGGTGTAGAGCTTGATGATATGTGGCCACCATCCAGATTAAGGTGTTGAACATTTCCAGCATCCCAGAATATTCCCATTTGCCCCCCTGTGTTACCAGCTCTGCTGCCCCCTCCCCGCCAAGGAAACCATTATTTTAACTTCTTTCACCATAAAGCATATAAATGGAATCACACAGTAGGTGTTCTTTCGTCTTTGGCAGCTTCCCTGGTGGTCTAGTGGTTAGGATTCAGCGCTCTCTTTCGTCTTTGGCTCCTTTTGCTCAATTTTGAGTCCATGAGATTCATCCATGTAGTTATTATAGGTAGCAGTATTTTCTTTTTGCTGTACAACAGTCAATTAGATGAATATACCACAACTTACTTATACTCTTGATTGAGAGATTTCTTAGCTATTAGGAATAAAGTATTCTTCTATCTTTTGTTGAACATAAGCACCCAGTTCTCTTAAGTGAATGCTCAGGAGTGAAGCAACTACAGCACAGGATTTATATATGCCCAGGCTTAGTACACAGTTTTTGTTTTTTTTGAAGTGATTATACCAATTGACACCCCCAACGGCAACGGAGGAGTTTCTAAACTGATCTATCTATGCCTTGCCAACACTAGGTCTTATGGGTCCTTTTAATTTTAGCCATTTTCTTTAAAGATTTTATTTATTCATTTGACAGAGAGAGAGAGAGAGAGCACAAGCAGGAGGAGCAGCAGGCAGAGGGAGACGGAGAAGCAGGCTCCCCGCTGAGCAGGGAGCCCGATGCGGGGCTCAATCCTGGGACCCTGGGATCATGACCTGAGCCGAAGGCAGACGCTTAACTGGTGGGAGCCAGCCAGGTGCCCCTATTTTAGCCATTCTAATCCAGGTATAATAGTGTCAGTTTGCCTTTCTCTTATGATTAATGATGTTGACTGAGAGCCTTTTCATATGCAAAACAGCCATTGATGTCTTTTTTGTGAAGCGCCTCTCCAAACTTTCTGCACACACAGATACAGAAAACAATGGTTTCAAAGACATAATATGCCGGATATCGTCTCTCAGTCTGTAGCTTGCATTTTCTCTCCCTTAATAGTGTCTTGTTATGAACCTAACATCTAATACTAATGAGGCTTAATTTACAAGTCTTGTCCTTGTGGCAGTGCTTTTCATGTCTTGCTTAAGAAATTTTTGCCTCGGGACGCCTGGGTGGCTCAGCCTGTTAAGCCTCTGCCTTCAGCTCAGGTCATGATCCTGGGGTCCTGGGATCAAGTCCTGCATTGGGCTCCTTGCTCAGAGGGGAGCTTGCTTCTCCCTCTGCCTGCAGCTTCCCCTGTTTGTGCTCGCGTTCTCTCAGACAAATAAATAAAATCTTTAAAAAAAATTTTTTTTGCCTACTCCAAAGTTTCTAAGATACTATTCCATGTATTCATCTAGAAGCTTTACTGTTTTAACTTTTACATTTTGGCTTATAACCCATCTAAAAATAATTTTTGTATATCGTGTGAGGTAGAGGTTAAAGATCCTTGTTTTCCATATGGATATTCAATTGCCAAGTATTGAAAGGACCATGAGATCATTAATTTAAATAATAAAATATTTAAAAAACATTACACAATAAACGAAAACATACTGCTGTAAAAAAAAAAAAAAGTCAAACAATACAAAACTATGTAGAGTCAAACAAGAAAATACTCCATGTCCTTCAACCCCAGGTCCAACAATCATAACTTCTGTTTTGTTGAACCACGGTTAATGGTTTGATGTGAATTGTTCCACATTTTAAAAATTCATTACACACACGATTGGTATTTAAAAAAAAAACACTTAAAATCATAACTTGTATACTATTTTGTGATTTGCTTTATTCATTTATCATGTATACATATGGATCTACTTCATCTTTTGATACCTGCATTGTATTCTCTACTAGTGCTTCTCAAAGCAGTTTTAATTTCTAAACCATTATTGACTAACAGTTTTGTAAAATGCAATAAAATGAATTACTAGAACAACGATCACACACTTGGAGGTTATAACAATGTCACAACACTCTGAAAGTTTCCAAGTACTCTTCTTCCCTGCTCCCTTATCTCAAGGTGGTCGGGTTTTGACACTTCAAGTAGCACAGTTCCGTACAGCTATACCATGACCTATTATCATTTAGGATGTACCCAATCTGAGAATCTGCCTGTACTGGAAAAGTCTACTCCATTCACATTTATTAGGGGAACTGTTGTTTCTTTTACTGACATCATCGTTTATGTTTCATGTTTGTTAGACTTCATGATTTCTGCCCACCTTTGTCCCCTTTTCTGTCTTTAGTTGAAATTATTTTCTCTGCCCCCTTCCTTTGTTCTCTGATGCAGAGGTCAACAAACTATGGACCAAACCCAGCTCACTGTCTCTGAATGGCCCACAAGTCAAGAAGAGCATTTTACAATTTATGAAAATTATATGAAATTCAAATTTCATGTTTATGAACAAAGTCTGATGGGAGCTCAGCCACACATACTTGCTTACAGAGAGGTCTATGGCTGCTTCCGTGCTGCAGCGGCCAGAGGGGCACGGGCTGCCCCCAGAGCCTTAAGTATTTGC